TTGGGCGGATTTTTAACGTAGGTCAGGTCTCCAGGGAATCCACTTGATTTTAAGGCGTCGTTGTAAGGTTGTGTGGCGTTGGTGAAAGTCTCTTCGTCGTAGGAGATGTCGGATAGTCGTCGGCTCACCGAGTCGGGCAGGTTTTTGATGATGCTAGGCGGGTGGTTAGATCGCCTGTTGATGTACAGAGGTTGGTCACTTATACACATCTAGATGTGTATAAGAGACAGCAGTCAAACATCAACCAAGTAAACAACCCATTGAATTTATGAATGGCAGAAAACACGTCATGATTCGGAGTCCCAGGTCGTGGAATGTTTTGGTGATGTCCTTCCTGATGCGGTCGGATGTAACCCCTGATGCGTTTTCGATGACAGCCAGTCCGTCGTCCCTGTAAAGTCCAATCTTCCGTCTGTCACATATATATATATATATATGTATGATATGATATATCACATCACAACATCATCATTTCTCCATCCTACTGTATACTGTGCATAATATTTGTTTTCTTTTATTATAACTACACAGCTGTTATTATTGGTCTGTAACTATAAGTAAACTAATCAGTGGCGTAACGCCTATGCGCCCTCGTGTGGCGGGTCGCAGGACCCCAACCCCGAGGGGGCCCATCCATAGGGTCCTCGATCTAGCAGCTTGAACCAAAAGGGCTTTGTTAATACATAACAACATAATGTCTCTCTGACATCGACTGTAGGGCATTATATTAGGCCTTTATCCAGTGGCAAAATAATTTGTCAACACTTGTTATTTTAAAATGGAGAAATTTTAAGTCTGTGAGTACCATTTCCAGCCATCTAGAGGTGCCATAATCATTCATTTTCTTACCGCAGCCCCAACCATGGTGGGGCTAAGGTCGTATACACCCTCAGTTTCTGAAAGTCCCTCATTGCTCCATCTTTCCTTCCCCATCTTTCCTTCCCCTATCAAATTCTTGAATCAACCGCCGATATCATAAAATACGAGCACATCTAAAATCCCCAACAGAATTGGTGACTACAAAAGAGGGCTGTTAAAAACATTTAGAATATGACAAACATGATTAAAAAAAACGAGCATATCACAGAAATGGTGACTGCTCAAAAAGGGCCTCAGTCTCAGAAATCCACAGGGTTCCCGGTCCCTTTGTTACACCACTGAAACTAATACCCGATTCACATGTCCTGCACCAAGGATATTTTGGTCGTGAAAATCCATTCTAGGAGTAAGGATATCTATTTTAACATGGCAGAAAAAAATTACTTTCCATCAATATACCAATAAAATGCATTATTCCTGAATTTCCTTTAATTCAATTTAATTTCATACAGGTACAGTATTGATTAGAAAAGGATTTTTATTGGAATTGTTAAAAATAAAATTTAAACTTCATAATTAAATATTAAAATAGGGCATTCTGTACAATGCTGTAACAACATGTTACATTCAAGATTTGAAGATTAAAACTAGCCAGGAAGAAGTATTGAACAGAATAATTTCTAACTAACATCAAATAAAAATATTATAAACATTAAAGTTAATTTAGAGTTACAGTATTAGTATTACAACATTAAAAATGAGAATGACCTTCAGATAGCAAATTGCACCACACAAAAAAATTGTATTAAAAAAATGTACAAAGTTTATATAATTGTGGCAAAGACAAGCCAAACCTGTCACTGGTCGCAAAAATCAATTTTTAATTATTAATACAGTGTTAAACAGTACAACTAGAACTATAAAATGGTAAAAGAATCAGTTAAATCTGACATTTCCTTATAAAGTTACACGCTGTTTAAAAACAATATTTGAGAAATCAACCTTCAAAGTTTATGATTTCGGGCATTTCTCAGGCAGAGACCATCACTAAATCATTAATAATTGTTTTTTTAACATTGAAAATGGGGAAAATAACAGCATGGCATGATGTATAAGTATATAAAGGTTAGTTTAGTACAATAAAATAGATTTTAAAAATTTGGCAATCCAGCATGTTTTGGCCATTATCTCTGAAATACGATTTGTGACGGGTGACTGGTTTGGCTTGTCTTTGCCACAATTTCTTTTGCACATTAGGTTTCATCAGAGGTGGAGAGGAACCATGGAGAATAATAGAAAACACTATATTGCACTAGATATGAAACATGAAGTAAAACTATTTGCCATACAGGTGACTGGCTACTATCAGAGGTGGCTGGTCACAGTGGTGACTAGCTACTATCAGAGGAGAATGGCCGCTATCAGAGGTGGCTGGTCACAGTGGTGACTGGCTATTATCAGAGGAGAATGGCCACTATCAGAGGTGGCTGGTCACAATGGTGACTGGCCGCTATCAGAGGTGGCTGGTCACAGTGGTGACTGGCTGCTATCAGAGGTGGCTGGTCACAATGGTGACTGGCCGCTATCAGAGGTGGCTGGTCACAATGGTGACTGGCCGCTATCAGAGGTGGCTGGTCACAATGGTGACTGGCCGCTATCAGAGGTGGCTGGTCACAGTGGTGACTGGCCGCTATCAGAGGTGGCTGGTCACAATGCTGACTGGCCGCTATCAGAGGTGGCTGGTCACAGTGGTGACTGGCTGTTATCAGACTTGCCAAATTTTAGTTATTGTGGTATGTCTGACCCACTGCCTGATTTTTAAAATAAACAAATTTAAATACTTATAGTTTTTAAATCTACAACAGAGCCCACACATCGAAGAAGAATGAAGAACCATAGTAGAGTAATAGTATGGTACACACACTTGCTCCTAGGCTAGGTCAGATGAAAGAAAGTCCTATACTTCTAATCCCCGTGCTAGGCAACATCTAATCAAAAAGTATACAAGAAACTACATCTCAAAATTATGGATGTTTTCGTATGTTAAGATGATCTAAATTCCGTACTTAGCGCCCCAACTTTTTGTGGTGGCTTTGTATGATTATAATTTCGTCCTGATTTTGTCTGTATGAAACAGATACAACAAAACATAAATGGTTTTCTAAAATATAGTGATTTGAATATGTGGTTTAATGCACATAAAAGTAACTTGTAATTAGTTTGAATCCATAAAAGAAAGTTTACATTTTCTGTAATACTACACGTATTCCTGTACTGACATCGTTCTGCTTCCAATGAAAAATAGAAAAATTTCTTGAACTAAAAATAAACTCAAAATTACAGCAGCAGCATATATCCCATGTTAGTGGGAGTTGAATTTTGATTGGTGGCGAAATATGTTCGCAGTCACATAAATATATAATATCAAGAAAAAAAAATCTACAGTTGATTAAACATAAACAAACATAATTATTGACAAATTAACCACATAAGCCTAGCTAGGCCAGGCCTATTGTGTTCTCTCCGACTGGACCACCCTAGCCTATAGTCTAGTGTCGCATAAGAAAGAACTGCCAACGTGTACTGCTTTTTGTCCTAATTTCATAGGCTATGACAAATATTATTACATTTAATTCATACTCATATTTGAATAGCATACAATTGAGAAAACACAGCGATTTGAATATGTGGTTAAACATACCATACATAATAAACTTGTAATTAGTTTGAACATGGAGGTACAGTATATTGTTCTATGCCTACTGCTCACATTCGCAATGAAAACAAAATGTCGGTAAACTTTTTTTGACACATGCCCACATCAAAATTTGCCCTATAAAATGACTCAAAAATGGTGGTAGGGGGCTGTCTCTTATACACATCTAGATGTGTATAAGAGACAGTCCATAGGGTCTGTGTATAAGAGACAGTATATATATACACACATACAAAATTATACATATACTGTACATGTAAAATATGTGCATATTTCATTTCTAAAAGCTCAAACATAAATATTTTGTAAGAAAAAATACAAATTTCATCACCAATATCATAAAATAAATATTTACTTACTTGTAGGAATCAATCAAGTAGAACACATATGACCCCATACTCATCAGGAAGTATGCCACAACCTAAAGAACAACAACACAATAACATCAATTGCATTTATAATTTGGTATATTGACAAAAAATGTTTACTATTATTATTTTTATGTTATTGATATTGTTAGAAATCCTCATAATTTTTGCCATAGATCATTTATTTGGATTAATAGTAGTCAGAACCGCAACCGCTCCGCCAAACCTGCGCCAAATGTCCATGAGCCTATTGTACTTACTTAAGCTGTGCATACAGTTGAGTGTGCATGTTCTTTGATCTTATCTGACAGTGCTTTGTAAAAGTAACAACATATTCAACCATGTTAAAATAGGTAGTTTAATCGAGAGTAAACTAGAGAGAAATTTAGTTCGTATTTATATATAGCACCTATTCCTTTATGTTACAAAGCATTTTGTTTTCTCTGGTCATTGAGTTTATATGCTTAAGTGTTGCTGCTGGAAATCAGTGCAGGAACAAACTACTCCACCAGGTATCCATTTATATTCTAGGGTGGAGAGAAGCAATGCAGATAAAGTGCCTTGCTCAAGGACACAAGCGAAATGCACAGCGAGAGATTGAAGTCCCAACCTCGTGTTTGGGAAACCAAACCATTCTCGCTACGCCAAACTGCTTCACAGCACATGTTTAGTAAGAAGCAAGAATAAGCCTACAAACATTTTTTTTTCCTTGGCAATAACTGTTCTACATTTACGTGCAAGGTTTTGGTGAATGAGTGCGAGAGCTTGAGAGAGGTCTTGTAATGTGTGTGTCTCATACCTAATGCATAACACTTAGTTTGACTATTTCATGTCTTAATGTAATAAACTGTATTCAGCTGAACATTTATCTATAATGTTTATTTTTATAATTTGAAGTTAATATTAATAATTTTGAATAACTTGTATTTCGTGTTGGCTTTGATGTTGCCAAGAATTTTAGTAACCCAATAAGTAAATTAGTAGAGTAAAAAGTCCCAAATGGTGCCTCCACTTTGATTATTGGATGGAATAACCTATTACCTGTGGGTACCATACTGCATCCATTAAATTATTACTGCAATGCTTCCTACATTAAATACTGTAAGTTGGCATTATAAAAAAAAATTATACATTTCAGTGTTTTAGTGTTTGAACAAAGATGTAGATTTGAATTTGTTTTAGGATTTAAATTCAAATTCAAAAATACTTTAATATCCAACAGGAAATTCATTTGGCCATGGCGTAACAACAAATATAAAACAGAGTACAATGAATAAAATGAATAAATAGATATAAATATATAATAGTAAAAAAAGTTAAAACATGAAAAACATAAAGGCCTATAAAGAATAAAATTTGTTTAAAAAGAACAATTATTATTCTTATAATTTCAATTTTTTCATTTCATTATTTTTTATTAGTATCATTTATTATTATTATTATTTTATAATTATTTTATCTTTGTTACCGTAATTATTATTTTAAACTCATCTAGTAATGGTTTTATTAAACACTCTGATAGCAGTTGGAATAAAGGATTTTCTGTAATGCTCTGTATTAGGCTTTCTCTTAAGGAGTAATCTGGAACTTACTGGGCTAGCTCGAAAACTGTGTAACAAAGGATGGGTTTCATCTTTAAGGATATTTTGACCTTTGGTAACAATAAAATCTTTATGTATTACGTCAAGTGATGAAACTTGTTGACCAATAATCTTACTTGCTTGTCTAGTGATTCTAAACAACAGTTTTTTGTCACTCTCCCTGAAAGAATTCACACCATGCAGAAAGTCAGAATACTTTGCACAATAGATTTATAAAACAAAGAAATAATACAATAATCAGTTTGAAACACATGTAGTCTCCTCAGGAAAAACATTCTTTTTCTTAGTTTCCATACATATTCAGCTGGTTCGTCAAATTTCAACTGGTTGTCTAAGACAACGCCTAGATATTTATGATTATCGACCCTTTTCCATCTGTATACTATTAAATTCAACTGGTACAACCTCAGTTCAATATTTAACACGAAAATTGAGTAACATCTCTTTTGTTTTGCTGACATTTAGATCTAAGAAAATATTTAACCGCCAAGTGTTAATAATTTCAATACGGTATCTTCATTGAACTCAATAACAGAGGAATGGTTAGCATTTAAATAACCAACAATAGCCGTATCATCGGCATACTTAATGATCTTTGTACACTGAAACCGAGGTTTACAGTCGTTTGTGTATAGGGAATATAGTATGGGAGACACGCATCCCTGCGGGGAGCACCTGTATTTCGAAACATAGTTGACAACGTGGTAGAATTTATTCTAACCATTTGACTTCTATTTCTTAGAAAACTATAAGTCCATTTAATAAGTACAGGAT